GGGCTGAGCAGTTTTTGAGAAATATCCAAGTGCTACTTTTCTGACCAATATTGTGACAGAAATTTCAAATCACAATTGTTTTTTTTTTACAAGTTAAGGTCCAGATCCATTTTTCCTGGTCAAGAAGACCAGAATATCCACCTTTTCTGACTCGACTCTTGAGAACTACCAGTTAGTTGGGGTTGTGTGGCTGTTACACTCACTTTGGTGTTTGGTTGCTTTTGACTGGTCTAACTCATCTACAGGCAATTCACAAGCTCCATGTTATTTGGTTCAATTTTCCTCCTTAAAACTTGTGGCAATATTGTTGATAGGGACTAAAATTGCTGTTCTTGCGATCTGAAAATTCCACTCTTGCGATTTCAATATAAAAAGATTATTTTTTCAGCCCTGTTTCCATACATTTAGAATACTGGAACTGCAGACAGCTTGAACGTTTCTGCCCAAATGTTTTATTCTACTGAAACAGGTTCACTTTCATAGTATTTGGCCTGAGGTACTTTGGGACAGAATTCTGCAGTCTGCAAAGAAAGCCTGATTATAATGCAAAGTGGGCATAAAATGACCGCATAAATGATAGCATAAAATGACCAACAATCCAGGTGTAATTCTAACAGAAAGGTGTATAACAATCTATTAAAATCACATTCCTCCCTACTTAGTTTGTAAACTGGGGCTATTACAAAATTCACCTTTGATTTATGCTAAATGCCCTTCCCGAAATTGGTTCCCATCGCTGCCAGGTATCTGCGGGCCTTTGCACAGTTGCTCTTAATTGAAAAAGTTATAGTAGCACATTACACTTCAGGGTTTTATAACCTGTGCTATAAAGCCTTGGCAGGCCTCAAAAGGAGAAGCTGCCCATTAACTTATAGGGCCTAGGCCTTGGCAGTGTAATTGAAAAGCTCTAGGCCACTTTCATCACTTGTCGAGTTCATAGTGGCAGTCAATGTTTCCTCTAGGATGCGGCTGTATCTCTGACAAGCTGGTGTTGCTGACATACCACAGCCTGCTCTCGCTCTAGTGGCAGTCGGTTTTCCATAAACCACATATATTTACAGGTTCCAGAATCAAGTCCAGTGCAAGCAGCAAGCCATGTGTGCAACCTCACTTCCTGAACAGTTCTCTTTGCTTCATATTATCTTTGGCAGGGGGACACAAGATAATAAATGTTACCACAGGTAGTAAACTGATAAATCTGTCCTATGAACAATAATAATACTAAAAATAATATAATTAATACCAACGATCCTATCAAAAACAATATGGGTCCAAGTGCAAAAAAATGGCTATATCTTCCAGAAACGACAAAGAGAAACTGGTGGCTTTAATTAACAGGGCTAAACACATCCTTATGGCGGCGCCTCAGAGAACCTCGGTCACTAAAACTGTCACTGTACACACCTCTCGCTCACACACGAGCTGAGAATATGACGAAGCCTGGCGCGACAGTCGCTTCACACTGTAGATGAGCTGGGCCATCAGCACAGCGCCTCTGGAAAATCAGCTGCCTTGAATTAAAGCCATCTGGCACCATGTTCCGATGACCAATATGGACAGCTTACTAGGACCTTTAAACCAAGTTTCTTTGTAACTGACATTTAAACTGTTTGAAGTTCCTCATTAAAGTCTCTCAAGATGAATCAGCTACAGATGTAGCCTAGCATCGTAACAAAGTACAGTAGTAGGTAATTGAGGTGGGACATTAAACTGGTTTGTTTGCATGTTAAAAGTTTTAAAAACACAATTTTAATGTATCAGTTTTTTAGCTTGACTGTCTAGTCAACTGTTCGGAAATATTTCTTGGGAATATGTTTACGCATTTTTCTATTCTGCATTTAATTCTTTAAAAAAAAATTTCCCCTTGCAACTTCTGCATAATAAAACTGCTGAGATGTAAACATTCTAAATCATTCAGAGCGGTTTGATAACAAGTGCTGCAGAAAAACTTACCAACAGTTTCTGATTTCTTTATGGTGGTGGTGATGGGAACCAGAGGTCAGGATGTCTACAACGCAAAAACAGCCTTACTATCCATAACAAGCAGTGAATCCATATCCGTATTCTAGGTTTTTAGGTGTGATGTTGATAATAATAAAATAGTAATTAATCTAAAAAAACTCACTCAGTAAGTTTCTCTAGAGTGAAGTGTTTCACATTAAACTGCTCTGAATGACTTGTTTACAAATTCAAGATTTAATTATGCAGAGACTTTGAAAAATCAGTGAAATTAGACTTTAAAGCAGTAATTCAGCCATGCTGTTCGAGAGGGTTTAAAGGATTGTGGTGAAAAGTCATTCTGAAATTATTCGAATATTTGTGACACCATCTATCTTAAATTATTCAATTTAAATCACTTCTTTATAATTTCTGCACTCATGTATGATGTACAAAAACAAGCAAACAGAACTGTTGAAAAGCTATATAAATTATTTTTAAATACTGTACAGAGTATACCAAAGTATTAAAAAAATCATCTAATACTGAGTCAGACTGGCAAAGGCAAATACACTTAAAAAACACTCAATCTCCAAAATGCATATTGTGACCTTATATTTTTGATTCAACCAAACACACAAATTATTTTCATTCCAACTTATTCTGACCTCAATCTGAAAATGGTGCATGGCCCCCAATACCCCAAAAAGCCTACAATGAAAAGGAAATTAGAACAACAAAGCAGGTGCATGCACTGTGAAAGACATCACCACCTGTCGAGACATCATTACATATTTTCAAATGAATGCTCCAGCACATGGGCCTTTTCGGACTTTCGTAGCATTTCTAATTTAGCCACGCATTTCAGGGATCCATCTGGATATGAATTTTGCTTCACCAATAGTGCAACGGCTTTCAGACCAGTGTGTGACTCTGTTACAAAAACACTCTTTTGGTCCTCTTTTCCTGTCTTTTAAATAAAAATACAGTATTTTTACCAGTACCAGTCACGCAGAATAAAGAACAGCCACCAAAATCATCAGATATTATAGAAATAAACCACAAATAATCAGATTGATTACAAATAATCAACAGACCTCACAACAAACCATCATCTAAAAATGAACTCTCAACAGTCATATTCAAAACCAAAAACAAGCAATGGTGTATGTAAATACGGCAACTGCTTCAACATCTTATAACCTACCATCTTATAACCCTCAGTTCCAGTGGTGGATGACTGGAGTTCTGCACAGTCTGGTGGTTTTCCTACTCAGACACAACCACTAAACCTTGCAGTTGAAGGGGAAAGTTGAAGTCCATGAATTTTTCAAAATTTCTACACAAGTCAACAGTTAAGATGTAAACAAAGTTATTCCGGGCAGTTTGGTGTGAAATGTTTCGTTGGAGAGAAACTTACTTGGTCGGTATTGTTCACAGTGGTGGTGATGGGAACCAAACAAGAGTGAAGAGTTGAATGCCTCTAAAAGCTTCCTCACAAAAAGTTATTGCATTAATCAGTTATGAATACACTGTCTGATGCCTGAGACACTGCTTCATGATAGTTTTGGCCTAAAAACATGTCATTAATCAATTTATTTTAATGTATTCATGGTGGAGGGGTGCATGCAGGGCATTGTAGGGCAAAACAGTCCCCCCACAAAACATATTTTTTCAGATTTACCACTATTTTACTACCATTAACATTACATGTAAGAAATCAGAATAGAAGTGTAAGTTCACTGGTGACCTTGGATAGTAAATAAAATGGCTATATTTGTGTTGTAGACATTGTGATCCCTGGTTCCTATAAGCACCACTGAAAGTCTGTCATTTTCTCTACAACAGACCATTTCATATCAAACCCATCTGGATGACTCTGTTCATATCGCAATAGTGGAATTATGCAACAGGGGAATTCCTCTTTAACTTATGAGTTGAACCAGGTGTGTTTGAGCAAGTTAATCACCAAACTATGCTGTATACCAGCCTTCCAGGACTGAAACTGAAGAACTCTCGCCTACAGTCAAGCATTTTTTCCATCACTGAGCAAATTTAAAACATATACCTCTGTCATTTTAAAACCTACTGTAGAGATTTACACACTAAAAAGCGGCAGCACCAGCTGTGCATCTTCTAAACACCCCTGGACGAACAAGTATATTTCATTCTGCAAATTCAGAAGTGGACAACCATCAATAAAATCAGAGGGAAAATAACTATTCTGGGCAAGAGGCAGAAAATCAGGAGGTGTACAATTTTCAAAACAGTTTAATTTAAGAAAGCCTAAAACAAACGTCCTTATAAGAACTCCTGTGCATGGTTTGCGTGTAGAACTGGCAGAAATGTATATGAAGCTGCAGTAAGTTCAGCAGACGGGGTTGGCTGAGGACAGAGCTGAGAGCTTCACATACAGTTCAGTGCCCGCCTCCGCCTACATTAGACCACACAGTCCGCACACACAGTCAGTTCAGGCTGCAGCCGTGTCAATGAGACTGAATTTGGCTTCCTATTCGCCACCTGCTTGTTCGAACTTTCCCGTTCCACCTTAAATGGTGCAGCAGTTAGCCTACATTCTGACGCTTGAGTCTGAAATCTGTTTGAGGCGAAAGAAGGTAACAGCTGCACCATTTAAGGTGGAACGGGAAAGTTCGAACAAGAAGCTGCCAAATAAGAAGCTGATTTCACTGACTTCAGCTTCGTGCTGGGTCAGCTGTCTCAAAGTCCAGTCAACAGCGAACAGCTCAAAGTGGCTTCATAACCAGCTCGTGTTCTGCAGGTTTCTAAAAGAGTGAAACGTGTTTTTCCACAACGGCTAACGGAGGTCATTTCCACTCGCGAAATGAACCAAAACCCCAAAGAAACATCCACCTGAATGTCAGAGCGAAGAGCAGTTCAAATGCGGCTAGCACAAAAGCTAGCTGAAATGTTTTTGTCAGCTTTGTTGCAGTTGTTGGTGTCTTTGAAAAAAGGGGAAACAGACGCACATTGCGGTACTAAAATAAGAATGAAGGGCAGAGAGTTTGAAGAGAACAGCACTCTGTCAGGTGTTTAACACTTACTGAGCCGACTCCGTCCTGCAAGCTCGGGCTATGTGTAGCGCCATGTTTCCTGCTTCAACGTAAGCCGCGATCCTATTGGCTGACGGTGTCACGTCTGTTCATACTGGAAGACTTTTGATTGGCTGAGGTCCTCAGAGCGCTCGTCACTGGACATTTAAAGATGTAAACCACGTATGTTAGTATAACGGTATAACAGTGTTTCTGCCTAGAAAATAAAAAATAAACATATCTTTTACTAATTTGATAAATCTTAATTGTTTTAATTCTCTCCTTGTTTGTCTGTGGAACTCTCTCTGCCTCCCTCTCTCTCTGTCTCTATTTTCCCCTCTTGCTCTTTCAGCACCCCTCTCTCCCTGCCCCCCTCTGCCTCACTTCTCCCTTCTCCCTCTTTCTGTATCTCTCTTCTTTCTGCCTGTCCCTCTCCCTCTTTCCCTCCCTCTCTTCTTTTTTTTTAACATACATAGTCATCACCAGTATATTTCCATAAATATCTATTGCATGATGATCCCCATTGTCATTTCTATGGGCAGGCACGACAGGAAAATAAGAGCAGGGAGCGCTGTGACACCACGACAGAGCGCTCCAGGAGCCCTCGCACAGCAGAGGCGAATTACTACTACTACCATCAGCCAGGTCCATGTGTGGCTAACAAATGACACGCAATATTTGCCATGATTAAGTCAGCAGGAGATTCTCTCCAAATGTCAGGATTCAAAAACCGGTTCCCTGGTTATGTATTAACTGTGTGCACCAGGCATTGCATGGAGATTGGGGGGCACTCTGCAAGCTTCACAAGAGTGCCAGGCAGAAAATAGCCCATCAATATAGCAACAGACTACTATCAAACCGAGGATCTTCAAACAAGTTGGCTATTTTATTTTCTAGACAGTTCATAATTACATATTTTATATGTTTGAAAGTTCATTATTATATATTTTTTAAAAGCTGAGATACAGTACAGTATTGTTTTGGGCTTAAATTTCAATTATGTAGATCTAATGTCTTAATTAGCCATTCATTTATAATTCACTACACTAAAACTTAATCACTTTACAACTGTGATAAATTATAAGAAGGTGCATCAGGATATAGCTACTTCTTGCCCTAGTAATAACTGATAGTAAGGGACAGTCTTGGGTAACAGCTATTCAGTCAAATCGGTCGTGCTTATATTACAGCCAATTCCCCTGAAATAAATGCATGAGAGTGTCTGGGCAGCTGTGCGAGCAGTAGGTTCAAACAAGGCCTGCTGTGCACTACTACTGCTAACACGCTCGTAGTGGCTCTTCCGCAATAACAGCCTTATTTTACAATGTATAAGTGCATGGTTGTCACAGATGATGTGCCCTTCTCTCAATATCGAGACATTTCTTTCTTTCCTTTCACATCTAGTCATATGTAGTCTGAAATGATTATAATGATGACAGTACCACACAAGGCCATAAGATATATGCAATTACATATTTGGATACTTTTAATATAGTATTTTTAAAGAAACAGGTGAAGCTTAGATGCGAAACCAAAACCATCAAAATCAAAATTCCATTTATAGGTTACTTGGAAACTGCCCTTTTTTTCTTCCTGCCTTCATTAAACACAATTGTTGTCTGCTAATCCAGTTTTGATAGCATTTGGCACACTTTCTTTGGATCACAGCAAGATGCTCAACTTCTATTCTGGTCTCCCGTAGGAACCACTGAGCCCCAAAAGAAGCCAGAATTTGGTGGAGCCAAAGAGGGGTGCATGCCGTCTGATGCATGTCTCTTAATACTGCCCACAGTTGCTGTAGATGCATTTAATTTCAGCCAGTGTTGTGAAACTGGTGTACCCGCTGCACGCACTTGATGCCAGTCTAAAACACAGAAAGCATTAACGACCCTTTCGAGAAAGCTAATGTTAAAATTTGACAGCAGAACTACGCATCTCATCTCACACACCCTCCTTTTGTCCTCCCTGATACAAATGGACAATGCATCACTGGGGTTTGATGTCTCTGATGTCTGGGTTCATTAAAAATCTTGAAATAGTGCCAGCACTGGGGCCTGGAGATTAAAGGAATATAAAAGGATGACAAAATTTATGGATGGCAAGTCACCACCTCACTCTGGCATTTCTAATAAACAAATGGTTTCTGTTTCCAATTTAAATTTCTCATTATACTGTGACTTTTTGAAAATGTGTTTTGATTTACCAATATTTTATCTGTAAAACTGCATAATTGATTAGATTTACATGGCTCTGATATTCAACTCCAGTGTCTCTCAAAAGAGAGAGAGCGAAGGGAACTCCAGAGGTATAATCGCATGACATGAAACAAGGGCTTGTCAGGGGGAAAAAATAATTGCAGTTGCTTGAAACCTCTGATACATTTTGCTTATTTGAAAACTGTTTCTGACTATGAACTGATAGACTTCATGGCCATCTCTCCATGTCAGTGCTCTCTGGCAGTACTAAGCATGTTGACCCAAAAGGTATGTTTTGCTTTTTTTATTGTTCTAAATAAGTTTTAATATCACTGACAAACACGTTGCATATTTATATTGCAGTACATCATTACAGTGCTGATGAAATAACATGCCAGTATAACTCAGTAAGAGTATTAAATTACTGATAGAAGCTCTAATGTTCTAAAAGGGATACATCTTGGAAAAGAACAGAAAACCTGACTGACGCAACACTGAAAAAGACAGTTCATGATCCAAATGTGTTAAATGGTTGCACACAGATACGAAACAAAATGCTATATCAGGACAACTGCAGTCTTTACATGTGCTGCTTTCAGAAAGAAATGTGCAAATGTAACATGTTTTATTCATGTATAATCAAATTCAAAGCATCATTTTTTTTCACTGCACAACAGAAGTCAAGGGATAGGTACTGATGCTCATTCCCATTGGCCTCTGTTATATATGTGCTTTAAATTGAAAGGTCATTTTGTACATAAAAATGGATTGAAACTACTTTCTGTTCTAATCACCAGTATGTGCCAGTCAGAAATTATAATAATAATAATAATGCAGGAGTACTCATTTAACGTTTATTTATAAGACATAGAGAAACAGAACTTCTAACAACTGCAGAAGACCTGGTACACCACTAACACTGTGGTGGCCTATCACCATCAGGTAAACTATCACCATCAGATAAACAGTTCTTGAAGCTTTTCTCTTTGAGAGAGAGAAGAAAATCTAGCTCCACTCTTGCTTCAGAAAAAATCCACAGGTGTTTTTGTCCATCCTTCCACTGTGAGAAGACAACTCAACATTAGGAGTCTGAAAGGATGTGTAGCTGTCAAGACAGGAAATAGACCAAAGAAAAACTGCAATTCAAACAAAGAAGCTGCTGGTATTCTCAGAATTCTCAGAACAAAGGACTGACAACTCCAGAGTCCACCCACCAGTATGTTTTGGATTACTGGGATTGTGAGAAGCAGAAAATGCAATTTCTCAGACTGAACTTTGGAAAAATATCCCTAAAACTGAAAGCAAGTCTCCTGACATAAAGGCAAAGAGTGGACACACTAAATACTGAAAAAATGATATGTTTAGTGGTTGATTCTTCTGTGTAACAGGCACCAGCACCCCCCCCAACCAGGAGGATAAGCAGCTTAGATAATGTGTGTTTGTGGGTGTGTGTGTATATGTGTATTTCTGTGTAATTCTCTTTTAAATATATGTGTTGCTTTTTCCTTTAAAATGAATCATTTGTACTTAAAACCTAACATATACATGTTGTTTGTCCAAAAGTATCCAGACGCCCCTTCTATTTAGTGAAGTCAGCTACTTTAAGGAGCACCCATTGCTCACACAGGCACTTTGAAGCAGCCACACAGCAGTCACCATGCCCTATGATAAGCGTCAGCCAGAGGTGTATAAAGCTCCCCCAGCATTGGGATGTGGAGCAGTGGATCTATGTTCTCGGGAGGGATTGAGCTCCATCTAATACCTTCGGGATGAGCTGGATCCAGATGTGATCCAGAGCTAATCACCCAATATCAGTATCTGACCTTACTAAATGCTCTTGTGGCTGAATGCAATAAAATCCTCAAATGTCTACTGTAAATATGCAAACATGGGAATACAAACATATAATGAGATACGTAGTGTAACGACAGCAAGTGCTCCTTATTTCTAAAATTAGTTCCATTAGCAATGTAAGGGGGCAAAAGACACTCAGCATACACTGAAAAAAAAGTTGTTGAAATTACATGATTTGAATGTGTACGTTGGTTCCAATGAAACGTAACATTAAATTAAATGAAGTCAATGAAGCACTCAATTAATGCTGATGTAACATATCTAGCAATGTGGAGCCAATGTACACAGCTCAATTAAGTAAATTTAAGGAAACCTCTAAACAACCTTTTTTCAGCAAGGCTTAAAGGGGAATTCCACTAATTTTTCAAAATTAAGATATAAAGATATAAACAAAGTAATTCAGAGTGGTTTGAGTCACAACTGTTCAGACGTGGTGATAGAAACCAGACATCCGAAGTATTTAATGCCTCTAAAAGCCGCCTCATAGAAAATTCTTACATAAAACAGTTACAGAAGTGTTTTACGATAGTTATGAGGTAAGGTTTTGGCCTACAATGCATTTTTCAAAACACACTTATGGTGAAAAAGTACTTGCAGGGTGCTGTAAGCCAAAATAGGACTCAAAGAAAACTGGATTTAATGCCAATTTACCATTATCAACACTACATGTAAAAACTCAGAAGATAGGTGTAGGTTGACTGGTAGTTTTGAACAGTAAATAAAACTGCTATATGTGCGTTGTAGACATTATTACCCCTGGTTCCTATCACTACCATTGTAAAGAAAATTTGTGCCAGTAAGTTTCTCTACAATTAACTATTTCACATCAAAACATTCTCAACGATTTTACATCCCAAAGATTAAATTATTATACTGAAATCTTGAAAATTGAAGGAATTCCCCTTGAGTAACGACGATTACAGAAGATATGAAGAATGACCCTTCACTTTACTTATCATACGTAACCTTAAAAGCAGAAAAAAATGTGATGAAGCCATAAATTTTTGTCAAATGAATTAGATCTTCCCATTTTATAT